TTATCAGTAAAGCAGACGACGCCAACATCTCCTTAAATATCCCTCTACGCTTTTCTTTTCCTACACTACTAGATCTAAAAATAAGTTTCTCGAATCATCAAAATAATTATGTATGATATTCAAGCATGATGAACAATATCAAAAAAAATTTTGGTATTCTAGTAATTAGTTTCATTATATACACAATTATCTTGACAATTCAACAAAATTGCTTTCAAATCTATATCTAATTAAAGTTTTTATATGATTTTGAATTTATTAAACTTAGAGGGAAGAGAGCAACTTCAATTATAAGGCACTGGTACAACAATAGTCATGTCACGAAAGGCTAAAAAAAGCGTATGATTAATTAAGATCTTTGTTTCGATCTCAATCATACAGCTTGATCGTTCGGCGGACATAAGAGTGCATACCGCGCATATAATTAGTTAACCGCTCACGTCGTTACCACCGCTAATTGACACCAGTCGTGCGTTGCACGTCGCCTTTCGTAGACATGTCTAATTACTGGTGTTCGCGAAGATCGGATCGCGGAATCGGTAGCAGGTTTTGGCCTTGCACGTGTTGCATAGTATGCTAATTTCGAATAGAGAGAATCACTATTCTTCGCCGCAATAATTAAATCAGGCGACTTCATTAAGGAAACAAGATACACGTACGGTCTTGATGCTTATTAAACTCAACAAGATTTTTATTGCGCTAATTAAAATCGTTTTTCATACACATTAATTCTTTCTTTCTAAGAAAAACAAGACTTCTATAATTTATTTAATATTCAGAATTAAGAAACTTTACCAAATTAATTCGAGAATGTAGATAAACGTAATAAAATCTTGTTTTATAATGAACTTTTATATCTCTTTTCACGAAATGGAAATTTTATTTATGGCTTAATTGTCAAGATACATAACAGAAAATTATAGCCGACTGATCGCATCAGCAGGAATTTTTAGGCGCTTTATTCTCGTGCTTTTGCGCACCGAAATTAGCGAGCTCGACGCTTCGACGGTGCGCCGCGGATCGATTAATTGAATTAACTCAATCGTACCGCAGACGCAACACCACCGCGCGCGAATTGAGCGCAGCCTCGTCGAAAGTCGGGACCGATAACACTGATAACCGAGAGCGCGTCGGCCGCTTCCGGTCTCGCTGAGGTAAAAGCAGGATCGATATCCGATCGCGCATAAATGTATCGGGCCGCCGAATCGCGTCACGCCTCGATTAACTGTTTCGCACGGCTCGCAATTTGTGCGCGAACGATTACGTTTACCACCCGCGGGATAATAGCAGAACGCATCGCGCGAATCGCGAGATTTTCAGACCTCTTTCTCTCTCTTTTTCTCCCCTCCTCCCCGCCCCCCTCTCCCCCGCAGCGGCAGCAACAACACAACGGCATTGCGCGTTGTTTCACTTGCGATATGCCGCGCTGTGTAATTACGATAATCCGCTGATGATATAATTTACGAGGCCGCATCGCTACCCGCGCATTTATCACACGAGGTAATTTCCTGCTTTATTATAATAATATCCGGGGTAATATGCCTCCGCCTGCGCGCCGAATACCTTCTTATTTTCGAGCACGCCGCTTCTCTTCGTTAACCGCCTTGTACCGTCTTAGCGCGACGTTAATTATTTTGCGTAGTTGCAGTAGTAATTTTGCGTTTTCGCACCGCCGCGCTTGACCGCGAGAAAGATTACCGACTGCATCAATTCGTTTAATTGCAACTGATAATTTGAAGATTTGTAGCGTTTGGGATAACATGACACGTGTGCTTTATGAGATTTCCTACGAGAATTAAAGTAAAAAAATATTTAATCTCTTGACTTCACTTTTTCTTTTGCCATCGAACGAAGAAATAATTCTGCTTCAATAGACCTTTGTAAATGACTCATAACGAAAAATGTACGTTTGATCCTTAAGTAAAAAATGTAATTGTAAATGTAAAAAATCTTTTTTTTAATGGTAACTTTTATTTTTTCCAACGTTTCTCTATTAAAAAATTATTTACAAAAGATAATATATCGTTGCATTATACATCTTACAACAAAGATTTGATACATTATACATATCTGTTCCTCTACTATCTCCGAAATCCAATCCAATTATAATTGACAATTTAATCGTAATAGAAAGATATAACTGTGTTGCTTCGTGCGCGAGATTTAACGATTTCGAGGTTTTTTACGGGTATCCGAACTGGTTAAAGCCAAGACTTATCTACAGCGAAATGCTGCGTTCGAAACGACTCGCGAGATA